CTTCCCCCCCCCTTTTTTTTCTATCTATAAATGTGCTGCTGAATCATTGGAAACCAATTAGGAACAGAATTTTTGCTCATACTGCCCATATTTATGACAGGATCTGAAGAAAACATTAATCTGAACTAAAATTTAGGAGATTCGGAGACTGAAATAAATAGAATATATTTCAAAATATTAATTTTCTCAGCCTCCTAAAAAAGCTTCTCTAAGGTCAGAAACAGGGACTGGAGAAAGGACGGGATTTGGAGAGCAAGAGCTCCTGCTCAGAGCAGTCTAATCAGACTCATAAAACCCCCTCCGCTCGTTTCTGGCAGCAAGTCCCACTTTCATCAGCCTCATTATATTAGCATAAATAATTACACTACTGTTGGGCCTGCAGTCCCGCTGAAGGTTGTGACCCTTACTTTGGGAATGACAGTCTGCAGTTCAGTAGATGCCTTGGCAGAAGAACAGCAATTTTTGTCATGTCTAAATTGGATTATTGTAATGTATGATGCTTAAGAAAGAGCTTTCAGGAGCTCTAGGTAGCAGAAAATATAGGCACATTAATTAAGCTGGCTAGGTCAAAATGACCACATAACTTTCGTGCCCAGGCCTGGGTTCTCATACGTTTTTAGATGAAGTGGTGATCTAGACAAGCTGTAAATAGCATTGGACATGACTAATGTTGGAAATGCTTCACTTTGTTGCACGATTCTTGGCTGGCTACAAAGCTGCTTGAACTCACTACAAAGTCAGCAGCATTGCTTGATTTTGGGCTACTGAACAAGAGCGATCTTTGCATATCTAATTGCAGGTGTTCAGGTAGCTTGTTACAGCTGCTCGGGCCCCAGCAGCTTGGTGCATTTGACACTGCAGTGATGACGGCAAGAGATCCCACCTCATTTATTACCCTTGCAGATCAAGGATCCAAAAAGTGTAAAGCAACAGAAATACATCTCAATTGAACTAGAACATATGGTGAATTTTAAAACCGTGCCAACTTGCATCAGCTCCACTTGATTACAGGCCTGCTGTTGGAACTGGTTGAGGAGTGTTCACCAGCCTTCGTCAAGGAAAAGAACAGTGTAACTCCCTTTGGGTACCGGCCAGGTGCTGAACAACTTTCCCACCCATTTTGCAGCTATGGGTATCTCAGTTGTAGGGCTTCTTTGTCACACGCTTTTCATGTCAACTTCAATTTTATCTTTCCAACCTCCATTGTTACAGATTGTCACCCTTGCAGCAGTGGCTCAGCAGTACGCTGGGAACGGGACAGCGGCACTCCTCTGCTGCTGCATGACTTACTGGAAAACACTAGCTGTCAACAGCTGTAACACGAACCTGGTCCCCCAGCTCGTTGCTTGACATCATATAGTCTAGATAAAAATGTCAGATTTTGCTGCACATGCATCCCTGATTCAGACAGCATAGCAAACAAAATTACTCTCTCAAATGTCAGGGGTACCATTGCATTTGCAAGGCAAAAGGGAATGGAAGATTTTCACCCAATCCACACAGGGAGAAAAAATAAAAAACTTCTGCAATCTGACAGCCACCTCTCGTTTTACCCCACTGTCATTTTTACAACGGAAATGTTCTCGGTCATGGAGTATTGTTGCGCGTGTGCTGGTGCCCTCTGACTAGTAGAGAGGTCTTGGATATCTGTCCTTCCTACCCAGTCCCAGATGGATAATCCTCTT